TTTATGGCGTATATAAATTAACTTTTGTAGGGCATACTTGAGAAGAAACACATACACAATTAGATAAATACACAATGAAAGAGAATCTTTAGAATTTGGTCAAATTGGTCCTGTGTGGGGCTTCCCTGGTGACGCAGTGGTTGAGAGTCCGCCTGCCGATGCAGAGGACGCGGGTTCGTGCCCTGGTCCAGGAGGATCCTGCATACCGTGGAGCGGCTGGGCCCGTGGGCCATGGCCGCTGAGCCTGCGCGTCCGGAGCCTGTGCTCCGCAACGGGAGAGGCCACAGCAGTGAGAGGCCCACGTACTGCAAAAAAAAAAAAAAAAAAAATTGGTCCTGTGTGGATTTCACAGTATATTTCGCTGTAAATTTACTAACTTTTAACTTGGCACCCAGTTAAATTAGAGGATTCTTTTCCTTTCCTCATACAAAGTTATATTAATATAACCAGTTGTAATCACAGTACTTTACCGAACTATACAATAATGTTATTTCCTACACTTCGGGAAAATACGTGTCTCAAAGATCCTTTTCTCTTTATAATATTCTGCCCACCTTCCCTTCTCCCTACATCCCACATTAAGATTTAATTCTTAAATTACTCTGAGCTTTAGAGAAATGTCCAGATTTCTTTTTACCACATATGTTTTGGTTTTCTGAATATTGCCCACTAATGAAAATTCCCTGTGCATCTGTAGTAAATAAACCTTTGAATTGCTAATTGTTTCAGATCAGCCCCCGAGATCTTTAGCAGCTGTCTTTATGGCATTTTCAGCCCACAGATTCAGTCTGTTTGTTTCTGGGATTTTAATCATCAGTCATACACACAGGCGCAAAGGTCAGGTTGCCTTGTAGACAGAGTGGTGGCAACATCTGCATGTGCTGTAGCCTCCACGGGGGTGCGGCTCCTCCTTTATCTCCTTCTCTCACCTTGTGTTAGTCAGCTCAGGCTGCCGTCAGAGAATGCCACAGCCTGGGTGGCTTAAACAACAACAGTGGATTTTCTCACTGTCTGGAGGCCAGACGTCTGGAAGTGCATGAGCAGGGTGCGAGCAGAGTTAGGTTCTGGTGATGCCTCTCTCCTCAGCTTGCACACAGCTGCCTTCTTACAGTGTTGTCACAAGGCCTTTCCTCTGTGCACACACTTTTGTTGTCTCATCTTCTTAAAAGGACGCCAGTCCTGTCTGATTAGGGCCCCACCCTTATGATCTCATTAACCTTAATTACTTTTTAAGGGCTCTATCTTCAAACACAGTCACCCTGGGAATGTGAAGCTACATCTTCCATTCAGTCCTCCAGCTCCCTGTCTCCCCTTCTCTCCACAAGCCTCATGCTCTAGGGTACTGATCTCTATGGGATCCAGGTCCTCTGGCTTCTGCTGGGGTTCAGCCTTGGGATACATTGGCAAAAAATGGGAGAGAGGGAGGAAGAGACTGGGGTCTTGCTCAGCACACATTCCCCTGGCTTCTTCCCTGCAGGGCCGACACGGGTTGGCGAGTCCCCTGACCAGATTTCAACTCCTATTAGCCCCTCTGTCTCCCGTTTCAGTGACTCCTCTCTCCCTGGCTCCCTTTAGGCAGTTACTGACCCCATACCCTCCTTTGGAGTTTGCCTTTGCCATGCCCAGTGGAATTTAAGCTTTGGCTCTGGCCTTAGTGAGCATTTCCAATTCCCAGTTTGCTCATCTGTAAAATAATGATATAGACTTGAATTGTGCAGAATAATGTTTGTACAGTCCTTGGTACGTAGTAAGTTTCTGTAAATGTTAGCCTCTGTGGTTTTTAGTGCACAGTGAACCTTCTATGTATAAAACGCTCCTTGATTATAAAACAAAAATTATCTCTTGGGCTTCCCTGGTGGCACCATGGTTGAGAGTCCGCCTGCCGATGCAGGGGACACGGGTTCGTGCCCCGGTCCGGGAGGATCCCACATGCCGCGGAGCGGCTGGGCCCGTGAGCCATGGCCGCTGAGCCTGCACGTCCGGAGCCTGTGCCCCGCAACAGGAGAGGCCACAACAGTGAGAGGCCCGCGTACCGCAGGAAAAAAAAAAAAAAGATGTTAAAATAAATAAAGTATTATCTCTTAAGAATTAGCCCTAGGTTTTCCCTCTCAATAGAGGAATAAATGTGTTTGTTTCTGTTTATAAAAATCATACATGGTCACGGAAGGAAGGTATAAAAAGAAAATAAAATTCTTTCCTAATCTTACCAAACAGGATAAGTTCTACTACATCGTCACTTGATGGTAGCTTTAAGCGTAAAACTGTACTACACGTTAACTTCATCGCACACACATGCACATACACTTTTTTCTAAACTGAGACTATACTGTATCATTTTGTAGCCTACATTTGTAATGATATTGCAACATAAAAGTACCTTCCGAACATTGTCTTATTATTCTTTTAAAATGAAATACGTTTTTAGAGATCTTTTCAGTCATAATTTTACACAGATACATGAATGAGATTGTGCCATATGTGCTTTTTCATCATTTTGTGGGTTTTAATCTATTATCTTGTTATGGTTCTGTTTAAACCAGGTAGGTTTTGTCATTATCTCACGTGTTCTGTTGACAGGTCAGGTAAAGCTCTGCTGTGACCGTGCTTCTTCCCGATGACACAGCCCCTCAGTGTGTGATGGGGAGGGCACATTTTGGTGATGAAATGGAACCTTCTTATTCTTCCCTGGCTGCGACGTTCTGTCTCTGACGTATAGACCTGAGTCAGTCGCCAGAGTTTCTCAATCTGGCCACCCACACCATAGTGAGGAGTAATTCCCTCTGGAGAATTGGAAGCATTGGACAAAATCCTTAGTTTATGATGGGTTGGTGATTTTTGCATCCTTCTCTATGTTTCGTGAATATTTGGATGGGAAACTGAAGGATGGTAAACCAGGTCCAGCTGTCTAGTGGCAATAACATCCAGAAGTTCCTCCCCCTCTCCATGAATTTTTCCCATTCCTGTGTAATCATATTGCATTTTTCCACATTGAAGGGCAAAAAGAAATCCATGCTCAGGTCAGGTCAAATCCTGTCATAAATATTCTGTTCCCTGAGGATTCAAGGTCAGGGAGAGTTTATCAAAGATACTCCAGATTCTTTGTCATCTCTCTTTCCTTGGCTCTTTTTTCCAGAAATTCCAGGACAACACTCCAAATACTTTTTCCTCCACCTGACACCAGAAGAGCTGGGGCCTGGAAAGAAGAAAGAGGTTTAGTCATCACTAGCTTTGGGACTTTGGTTCGCACTTCCTAATTACAAAGTGATAGACTTGACCTACGTGTCCTCCAGCATGCCTTGTAGTTTTAAAATGGTAGACTTTCTGAAGGATTCAGCTGTAACTGTTCTGAGAGATGCTCTTCACTTTGGCTTATGTTTCTCTTTTCTTCTGAAGATCTCATCTTACAGAGAAAAATAGTCCATATGCTTCAATACATCTGTGTTCTACGTTGCTTCTTCTCCTTAATTATTTTATGACCTTAGGAAAGTCTTTGAGTTTATGCCAAGTTTGGGCATAAAGCATGTAAGAAAAACTTCTTGGGTCTGGTTGAAGAAGGTATCCACAGTCAAATATGTTTGGAAATTACTTCAGATCGTGCCTCCCTCTTAGTTTTGCAATGAACCGTCACTCACTAAAGACTCTTAGAAGTTCTGCAATAAGGGAACCTGTTTAATTTTGCTTAATTCAGAATTTCCCAAACATATTTGATCTTGAAATCCTTTTATTTCTGGTAGCATCCATAACATCCCTCATAATTAATAACCCTGCCATGCATAGAGGAAGCACAGCTCTGGAAGGAAGGCATCATCCCAAATTCTGCCCTTTATTGGTGATGTGATCTCAGAATAAATACATTACCTCTGTGCACCTCACATTGCTCATATATCAAATGCGGGTACATAATAGCGGCCAGTTCATGTGGATGAAGATTTATAGGAATATAATATGACTATGGTGATTGTGACTAATAATATTCCAACTCTGAGGTCTGGCTGTCTGGGTTCAAATTTTGTCTTTCCACTTACTGGCTTGTGACCTTAAAAACATTACTTCTTTACCTCAATTCTTTATCTGTGTGATGGGGACAAAAATTGTACCATTCTCACAGAGTTGTTGGAGGAATTCAGTCTGATTCATGTAAAACATTTAGAATTGTGCTTGGCCCACGGTAGGTACCTAGTAAAATGTTAGCCCTTATGATCCTCACTGTTTGTGCTCTTGTTACTTCTATGACTGTATCAGGTGAAAGGTAATATTTTAGTTTCTTTTTTTAATTGGGATATAATTGACATTAGTTTCAAGTATACAACATTAATGGTTCAATATTTGTATATATTTGTGAAATGATCACCACTGTGAGTCTAGTTAACATCCATCACCATACATAGTTACAGTTTTTTTTCTTGTGATGAGAAAGTTTAAGATCTCTCTTAGCAACTTTCAAACGTACAATACAGTAGTATTAACCATAGTCGTCATGCTGTACATTGCATCCAGATTAGTTTTGTCTTTTTTTTTTATAAATCTATTTATTTATTTTTGGGGTGCGTTGGGTCTTCGTTGCTACGCACAGGCTTTCTCTAGTTGTGGCGAGCGGGGGCTACTCTTCACGGTGGCTTCTCTTGTTGCGGAGCGCGGGCTGCAGGTGCACGGGCTTTAGTAGTTGTGGCTCGTGGGCTCCAGAAAGCAGGCTCAGTATTTGTGGCACAGGGGCTTAGTTGCTCCGCGGCATGTGGGATCTTCGCGGACCAGCAATTGAACCTGTGTCCCCTGCATTGGCAGGTGGATTCTTAATCACTGCGCCACCAGGGAAGTCCTATATTAGTTTTTAAAAGCAACTCCTCTTACTTCAGAAAGCAGCTTAGATCCAGCACATTATTAATGCAGCATCGTACCCCTTCTGCAAATGCTTCATTCTGCCATGTTGATATTGATCTTGTCTTCATCTAGAGTCTGTGACCCATGTCTTCCATCATCTAAGTTTTTCTGTTTGTGTGCAGGGGCGGAGAGGCCTCGGCTCTGTTTTTGTCTGGGCATCAGGAAATGGTGGGAGGAGCAAAGACCACTGCTCCTGTGATGGCTACACCAACAGCATCTACACCATCTCCATCAGCAGCACAGCCGAAAGCGGAAAGAAGCCTTGGTACCTGGAAGAGTGTTCGTCCACGCTGGCCACAACCTACAGCAGCGGAGAGTCCTACGATAAGAAAATAGTATGTGACGTTTGCATGTCTGGCATGATTGGTTTATTTATTTATCTTTCACTTTGAAACGCAAATGGAGACCATACATTTATATGCACAAGTAATATATGGAAATAGAAAGATTAGCTGATTACTCAACACAGGTATTTGTAAATAGTACCATTCCGTTACCAAGTCATTGAAAAAGCCTGTCTGGGTCATTACATTCCAGCATTGAATGTGGCCTTAGACATGATGAGGCTTCAGTTTTATTGAAGACAAATGAATGGACTACATTCACCTTGTGAGTTGGTGGCAGCGAAAAGACTGGGTGGGATTCTCAGCCCAGTTCCCTATCACTCTGTCCCCGTACTGCCTTTGAACTTCAGCTTGAGTACTTTGGTTTCAAAGTAGGTACAACGAATTCAGTGCGACCTCAACCTATGTAAAAGGTGCTTCTCTAACACTGCAGCACAGAGTTTGCCTGAACGAGAAGCACAGTAGTCCTGTGTGATCTGCTTACCAACATGCTCTGCTCTCTATGCAGATGGTAAAATGGTTAAGAGTTCAGGTTTGCAGGACCAGCTGGCGTGGCTTTCGTTCACTCTGGAACTATTTACTAGCTGGGTAACTTTGGATACATTACTTAATTTTTCTGTCTCAAGATCCTCACCTGTAAAATGAGGGCATTTAGTAATACCTAGTTCATGGAGTTATTTCAGTGATTATGAGCAAGTAGATAGAAAGTGCTTTGCACACTACCTGACCCACTGGTGCTCAAAAAAGGTCTGACTTTTAGGATGCCCCACACTGTGCGACTGACTCTAAATTTCAGACACCTTTGCACTTTGCTCTTTTCCTGATTGTGGTTTTATAAAATGTCTCGGGGTTTGTCTTTCTAAAGTGGAGCTAAGCTGCTATACATGACGCTTTTTAGCATTTAGCCAACACCCTGCTTCCAGATCCTGTGATTCACGCAGGTTTGGTTCACTCTGCAATGCTCCCTCTGGCTTTATACGGCGGTGGAAATAGAGGTGATAAGATACTACCTCCTTCCTGCAATTCTTCATCCATATCTATTTGTTTCCTCTTGATTCCTGATTACTATAGGATTTTCACGTTTGATTTCTCGGCTACCTTTTACTATCCTCTTAAGTTACATTTTTCAGATTGATTTAAATAAAAACTGCCTACCCCTATGCATATCCCATCTGTCCCCATCTTTCTCTAATCCCTTCATAATAATTGGGTTAAAAATATGCACATGAGTAACCCTGGAAGTACCTCCATCATACATCAGTAAACATATTCCACAATACAAAGTGAAATATAAAAGGAGAAAATACAGAGATGACAAGTTTTGAAGCTCCATGGCTTTCTTCATGGGAAAGTGATGCTCTATGATACTTTACCATCATTATGGAAATGTTTTAATCTAGGAATGTTCCTTTGGCTTTCAAATTTGCTCATCTCTCAGAGCTCCTGGTCAAGGCCCACTAATACTGAGTGGCATCCGTCAGTTCTGCATCATGAAAATCCTGATGAAAACTCTCTGGAATAAGAATTGTCTTCCCAAACTTCTAGAGTCTGAAGGCATGTTAATGAAAACTCACCATTGCTTCAAAGTAAATATGCCCATCTAGTGCTATTATTTCCTGTGGGGCAGTTGTTGTGAGAGAGGTGTTTTTAAGTTCCATAAGTGCCTTCCTTAAGAGAAGATTATAATCCAATGGGCAAAATATCAAGGAAGAAGGAAGTGTTGCCGGGTCCCAGATGGAAAAGTACAGTGCAGATAGAGGGACCTCAAAATTGCTACCCTGAGATTTACTCCTTACACTTGACCTTCCTGGACTTTTCATCACTACTTACTGTGATGGTGTGGTAGCTGCTATGACCCCCATTGACTGGGTGGTCATTTAGGATTCTTCCACAGATGGACAAATCGATCATTCTGTGGTGAGGGATAGGGCTTGAGAGGAAAGATGGACGCCATGATTTAATGTCAGTATCCTTGATTCAGGTCATATTTCACTTTTCCCTTGTTGCTGCTTCTGATATCAGAACCTTTACTGACTCACTGAATATATAAAGTGACCTGTTTACCTTTTACCTGGCTCTGCCTTTTGTTTAACCTCTCCCATTTTCGTAGCAGCAATTGTACGAATTTTTCTCTAGCCAGTTCTCAGCTTCTCTTATTTTACCTGAACCTCCAGATTACCCTCAGTTGGAGAGGAATGTGGTAACTGTTCCCAATTATAATCTCTAGCTACGGACAGACCACTCAGTGGCTAAGTAACCTCTACCAAGTCTTGGTTTCCTCCTACGTAAAATGGAGGTAAAGCCAGAACCAGCCTCATAAATTTTCATGAAGACAGCAATATACTGAGCCTAAGGTACTTACACAACGCCTGTGGCAACGAGCCACCTAGTAAGTGGCTGGTACCCTTGTTCCCTAAGTCAGGGTAGCTTTCTGTATCGTGGGAGCTTAGGCTGGTCGTTTTTCCAGCTGTTGTTAACAGAGGTGCTTGTCGCACCTTCGTTTTTCCAATCTGTAGAACCACGATCCGTTCCACCCACCCCGTAAAGAATGGCACTTTGATGGTAAACATGTTAACAGTTTGAACGTGAGGAGGGTTGGCGGCAACATCAGGCTTTTATGGTCCAGCTGCCCCTTTTCCTTCTAGATGTCAGAATGACAAATAATCCTGCTCTGCGCTTGGGACCTTTTCTTCACCACGCTTTGAACCAGATGTCTGTGGTCCCTCAGAGATGCCCGCATCCTGTTAGTGGCATCCGTGATTGAGTGTTACAGGAACAGCAGTGTCTCCCTTTGTTCTGGGGCTCCCCTCCCCAGTCCATCCATTTCCTTTTGTCATTTGCAGCTTCTTCAGAAGAGTACAGTTGTCATTCTTCATTCATAGAGCACCTTTGTGAGTTGAACTGAGGCAGACGCTGAGGATCCAGGAGAGAGGAAAGATCTCACTGCTTCTGGGAAAGCACTTTGGTTAAATAATTTTTTCTTGTCCTTTTCATGGTGTGCAAGTAGGAAAACCTTGCCCTGAGTTTCAGAACGTAGCCAAGTCTCCATCCCTTGGTTTCCTACCATCACTATCGTACAGTTGTGGACCTTGGTATTCCACGCATGCTTTAATAGATTCAGATCAGTGATGGCCTTGAACCTTATTCTAGCAAGTGAAGCAACGAAAATGTCAAGATTACTATGATAAGAAGCTCCCCTATAAGGTAAATAGAAATCAGTTGAAGTGACTGGTTATTATGAAATAATGTTTTTTATTAACAACACCGTATGCATTTTATTCCATGCCAGACATGTAGTACATTTACAGTTATATTATCATGTCATAAATATAACATTTTTTGCCCTTCTAATGTGTGCCTGGTAGTGTGCTATGCACATTGAATGCATCCTCTCTTTGTATCCCCAAAACATTATGCAGGAAGATCAAGTATTGTCCCCACTCTACAGATGAGAAAACTAAAGTCTGAAAGGTTAAAAGAAACACATGTAGTAAGTGGTAGAGTCTGGATTCCAACCAAAGTTGTGTTGAACCCCCAGCCCACCTTGTAACCAGTGTGCTGTCATGCCCCAGATCCTTTCCAGGGACCTCCAGCATGGGGCTGTATAAAAGAACGGTGCTTTTCTTGCCTGTTTGGGGTTCTCTTCACAGTGATTTTAAAAAAAAAGAAAAGTATGTGGACTATATAGGCATCCACTGTTTTTCACTACTTTGCCCTCTCGTTCTTTTTGAATATGGAAAGTAATTTTAATTTTTAAATTTATTACCTTTACTTTCATTTATATTCTTGACGACAGTGTATTCAAATTTTATACACTCCAAATACAATGAGCAATTTGCTTTGTAGTCCTTTAGATCAGCGTTGTCCAGTAGAACTTTCTGCTAGGATGGAGAGGTTCTCCATCTGTGCTGCCAAAATGGTAGTCACTAGACACACGTGGCTGTCGATCATGTTAAATATGGCCAGTGCAGTGGAAGAACTTTAATTTTAATTCCGATTAAATTTTAACTGATTTAAATTTAAATATCCACATGGGACTATTGGTGATTGTATTGAACAGCACATTTTTATTTTTATGGCTCACTAATTTTGAATTTCATGCCGTTAGACCTCTTCCTAACCCCCTCAGACGATCGGTCGGTCTTCTGGCAAAACACCTAAGCCCTTTGCCAGTCTAAGTGGCTAATTCCCGTGGCCTGGCGTTGAACTCCCCAAAGTTACCTTTTGCCTTTTGTGTGATTTCAAACCAGGGCCCTCCTGTGCGACTCGCGTCATCTGGCAGGAACACTCTTTTCCCAGAAACCACTTCATTTATGCCTCTTCTCCAATTTCCTATCAGGGAGGCTGTTCTTCCTCACCTTCCCCTGAAAGAATGGCACTCCCCTCCCCCCAAACTCTACTCTTTTATCCTGTTCAGTTTTCTTTCTGGCATCCTTAGAGCTGCTTAACATGATGTTATACATTTTTTTATTGACTGTTTTCCATGCTAGAATGGAAACAACTTGAGGTTGAAGACTTTGTTCTTTCCCAGAGCCTGAGCTTGATAAATGTTCAGGAGTAACTGACATTGAGAAAGATAGAAGCCTCACAAGGCATTTAAACAGTCACAGGAGGCAGGTAGGTACTCTCAGAGAATCTTCCTCTACTGGTAGGTTGGAGAAAGGCAGAGGGTACGTGACAATATATTTCACATGGGAAATTGCCTACAGGAATCCCGCTGTAGAAAGCTGTACATCCAACTCTCCTTAGTGTCAAGGAGCCTTAAAGATCCTGTCTTTATGTAACCCTTCACTACCTCCTGAATTTCTCCCAAGTTCTTTGATAGAGATAAAGCTCCCCTCCCTCCCCAGTCACTCCCATCATTAAATTATATTTCTTTGGGGACTTGTTCAGCCTTTGTCTTTTTTTCCTCTAGTAATTTGTCTCAGTGATTGGAATATGGGGGCCATCGTATGCCTCCTGGGTCTTGTGAGCCCGGGTTTAAATATATG